TATTGATAAGATAAGAATTATTAATATATATATATTAAACTAAGTTTTTCTTTATTGCAATTAATAAATACATCTTTATTTAAATTAGTTAAATATTCTTTTTAATCATAAAATAAATAACATCAAAATAAACATTAGAACATCACAATAATTTATTGGTTTATTAAATAAATAAATATGAATACTAGTTTTTGAGTGTTTATATAAGTTATAAATGTTCTCTAATAGTACAATAAAATAAAATTCTTTTTTTTGTTTATTTGTTCTCATTCATCTAAGTATTGAATCCACTCATTTTAATATACTAAACATCAAATCCCAATGAATATTATTTTTTAGTTTAAAATGAGAATATTAATATACAAAAATAATAAAGAAATAAACTATAATATGAAAAAGATACATTACAATAACTATTTTATAATCAAAAATTTGTTTATTTTATTTAACATTATTCTTGAATAAGAGAACATTATTCTTCAATTTCATACAAATTGTTTATGTATTAATTTTTGAGTGATTTAACAAAATAAAATGATAAAAAAAGAAAGTAGAATTAATCTTTATCTTCTTTGTAGCTAATAACCATCTCTTGATCACCAAATACTTGGACAATACATATAAGAGATTTATCATTAAATTCATGTTCAATTTGTTTTCCAAGTTCATTTTTAGGAAGTTTAATATCATTTCTTAATGACCCACCTTCATTAAGAAGACTCAAATAACCATCATCAATATCTTGAAGAGGATATTCTACTCTTTTTATTACTGGAACATCAATGTTAGAATGAGCAGGACAACAATCAGTGTACTTTTTCCCAGTGAAAACATCAATTCCAGTTAATGTTACTTTTGCATGTCCATGTTTTCCATCCTTAGTTTTATTAAATTCAGTGATTTTACATGGGAATTTTTCAATCACAACAAACCCACCAAGTTTCAATGAACCAGCTTTAGTTGGGATTGTGAATAGTATGATTATTCATTTGACAGTTTTCATTGTACCACACCCTTCAATTGTTTTTATTAATTAGCCGTTCTCTACTTTAAATTTGAACATCTGAATCTTCATACAAGAACATAAAATTAAGATTTTGCTCAAATACGTAATTTTTTAAAAAGAAATTTTTTGTCAGTAAGAAAGACAATCCTTAAACAAACTTAATTGATGATATTATATTACAGAAAATTTCTTTTAATGGTCAGTCATTGTATCAGGTTGTTGAGTTACTGAAGATGACTGTCCATTGTTAAAAGCTACTTGATATTAAAAAGAATGATAATTGCTATCAATTACAAAAAGGAATGTTGTAATGAAGTCAGGGTTAAGTGAGATGGACTAATCGAATTGTTATATG